GGATCGATAGAAAGAGTTGTTTTTCAATATATTATTAACAAATTTGGAAGTAGGCTTATAGTATAACAACAACAAATATGTATATTTTAGAGTTAGTACAACAAACATATAATTTTATTTTGCAATATAAACTACAAGTTTACTGTAATATAATAAGCTATCACATATTTGATGAAATAACTAAATTGTTATTGAATATTAAAGATATTTGCAAATAAGTATATTTTGCATTTATAATTTTTAACTACTTAGTTTTGAACAGGATTATATATTTAGATTATAATTCTTATGAGATGCCTTTTATTTTCTTTTATTTTGTTTTTGTTTTTATTTTGCTCTTTTTTTTTTAGCTAGTTAGGTTTTTAACTTGTTAGCAAGTTTTCTTAATTTAGTTTTAAATGTTATATATAGTATGTAGCTTTGCTTTTCACTATATATAACAATTATATTTTACTTTTATCAATGTTCAACTTTCTAAACAGTCAAACAAAATTGTTCAAACTTCTTTTTTTCTTTATATTAAGAAAGTTTTTAGTACTACAGATTATATTTGAGCATATATGCAAATAGAGTATCGAGTAGTATTTTCTATTAGAAAATTAGATATATAGAGAGAAACTATAGGTTCTGATATTAAATTAAATCTTATGCAGACTAGCTATCTATAACTCTTTATCTAATAAATACGTAAAGCATAACTGTTAAAGAAAAAAAAAATTCTAATAAGGTTCTAAACTGAATAAATATATAAAATATATTAAAAAAATACTAAAGCAAAAAATATACAAGTTTTAAGAAAAGTAAAGTTTTAAGTTTAGAATAAAATATTTGAATAAATTATTGCTGAAATAAAATATATGCTATCAAAGAAAGTCTAAGCTATACAAAGATAAATTATATATAGCTTGTTATAGAACAAAAAAAACTTTTAATCACTTAGCTATCAATAAAATCTATTAAAAGATCTAAAAATATATAGAAGAAGAATAATAGCAGAGCTAAGACTTAAAATACTTGAAAAATAGAATATTTTGATCTCAAATACTAGTTTAGCAAATATATTTTTAAATACAAATCTAGAAAAGAAGTTTAAAAAAAAAAAGCTATATTTTTAGAGTTTTATAAGCAAGAAACAAAGCAAAGAATTAGAATATTTCTAAACTTTAAATCTAAAACTAACTGAATAATTTGTTAGTTTATTAATATCTTCTAGTCAAATTTTATAAAAAATTATAGAAAATTTGTAATGAAGTAATAACAAGTTAGAAAAAAGAAAACAAATTTAGTATGATAAAAAAAATAAAAAAAAGAAAGCTGCTAAAAACAAGAATAGCAGATAAAGAAAATAATATTATCAAAAATTTTTAAAAAAAAGAAACAATATCAGAAAAAAGTAGAAAAATTCTAAAAGAATTAAACAACTAAATCTTAAACTAGATTGAGAATATATATTATAAAAAATAATTAAAATTTAAAAACAATTAGGCTTTCTTAATATAAGCTAGTAATAGCTTTCTATTAATTAAGACTAAATAGATATTTAGACATGTATTTAGTTTTAGAAAGAAAAATACTACTGTAGCAGATCATATTTAGATATTAATTAAATAGCTAAGTAAGTTCAAAATTGCAATAAGAAGAGTAGTCTTAAAATTAGAATAGCTTAGTTTTAGTTTTATGTATTTGTCTAAATATTTTTTAGTATTTCTTCTAATAAAATAAAGAACAAAATTACTTAATTGCTGATCTGAATAAAATCGGCATAAATTTATTATATAAATTTGGGGAGAAATTATCGATTTTACTATTATATAATAAAGAATACTTAAAAATATCAAAAAGGCAAAATACAAAAAAATTATTGATAACTAGTTTTTATTATACAAATAGCCTAATTAAGAAGTTCTAAAAGCAATTTATAACAAAAAAAAATACTTATTATCTTGTAAGTGAAAAACTTTACTTTGGACTCACATCAGATCTACAACCACAATAAGCGATTGCGATCACAACTAGTGCAATAAAAAAAAAAAAGTGACAAATACAATTAAAAGAGTGACAAATACAATAAAAATAGTTATGATATTGGTGATGAATACAATAAAAAGAGCAAACAAATACAATAAAACTAGTGATGATATAGGCAATGAACTATAACAATATAGAGTGATAAACACAATATAGAAAGAGAAAAAAATATAAAGATCAATATACATATAGGTATGTATTATGTTTATTATAGCTTATTTCAAGTTTGTAATATATTCTCCTCCAAAGAATATTCTGCTATTGCTCGTTTCCAAGCTCGTGAGAAGCTACTGATCCAGTTTGAAATTGTCAAGATTTCAGGTATATCACTCTCACTAATTTCGCCTTCTTGCAACTATTTGAGCAACTCTTGTTGCATTTTGGTCACAGACATTTTATTTCTTAGCTTGCAGTTCTAGTATGAAACATAGCTTCTAATAAACCTTTTACTTGAGATGTGAGTCGTTTTACTAATCTCTTCTTCTACTTTTCTTTCAAATACTAACCGGTGACAAATACCTGATAACTATATATAAAAGTATAAGTGTAGTAAGAAAACAACGAATAAAAGAGAGAAACATAAATAAAATGTAAAAATACAAATAAATAAAACAATAAAAAAAAAAAGTAAGATATAATGAAAATATAAAAAATAATAAAGTCGAAAATGAGCAAGCAGAAGTTTAAAACATGAAAAACATATATGAAGCATTGGAAGTAACAAAATTAGAGAAAATATCAAATCTAAGCAAAATTTTAAGATATGAATAAATATATGAACCAATATAAAAAGTAGACGAAATATAATTCAAATATGAAAATTAAAAAATATGAAATTGAGATAGTAAATATTAGATAAAGCTAATAAATTCGTGCAAGAAAAATAAATATAAATAAAACTATGACCCTTCTGGTTCATTGCAAATATCTATTTCAGCTATGTCAGTTAAATTGATCGTCTTCTGAATGTATAAGCTATTTTTAGTTATCTGTTTGCAAAAAAAAAAAAAAGCAAATTATATACAGGTTCATTATTCTCATCTTTATCTACTAAATTGTCATTCAGTGAAACTAATATAAGTGATAAAACCTTAGTATCTAAACAATGTATCCACAGGTATTATGTATAAGTATCAAGCACTAGATAATTTAATTTGCATATAAGTAGCATAACCTTAGTACTGTTCAGCACTGTTTACAATATCCTACTTTTATGAATAAAATATAGCAAATTTCTATAAGTGCATTCTAAGTGCACTTCTCTAAATACACAAATTCTAGCTTCAAATACGAGTGCTATCAAAAGAAAATAGAACTTCAGATTTTCAATATTTTTGAACCGAATACGATTCCTAATAAATAGATGATCATGAATTTATTTCTTTCAGTTATTTTTTTCATGTATTATGAAATAATCATATTTACTTGAATTAAAACTCAGCTAACAACTCCCTATTATAAATTGTCAGATAATACTACTATTATTCAGAAAATTTTTGAATAACGGTAAATTGGCTTAACTAGACAAATGACATGTGCTGCTTTGCAGCACATGTTCATTGCTTAGTTGAACCATTATTCAAAAATTTTTGCCATAACATATACTTATTATACCCAATACAAAATATAATTAGGTTCAAAATTCTATTTTCCTTTGCAGCATATATATATAATTTTGATATATGTACTTGTCTTGTTCTCTAAGTACACATATTAAAATTCGGTCTATAAGCTGCACTTATGGAGGTTTTACCCTAAATGAAACAGAAGTAATTCATAAATAAAAAACTGAAAGTAAATAAAAAAAGCCGTATTTAAAAATACCAGGTTTGATACTCAAAAAATTTTCTATCTTAAACTTTCACCTATAATTCTTCTTAAAATCTACTTCTAATTCTTTAACTTCAACATCAGCTTTATGCAAGCTGATATCGATCAATCTAATCTGAATAATTGACAAGCCTAATACCATTTCTTCTAATAAACTCTGAATAATGTAAGCTTTGCAAAACAGTATACCTCATAATACCCAAATAATAAATTTTTATGACCTTGAATTTTTGGCATTGGTGTAGTCCATGATTTGCTCAGATGACTATGTGTAGTAATGCTAGGTTCAGGTTTTTTAATAATATGCTTTTTCATAATTTTTTGTATATTTGCAGGTATGAATTTTTTCCATGAGCTAATTCCAGGCAATAATTTTGTATAAATATATCCTATTTTAGCTTTATTATTGGGTCAAGACTACTCGTGCTAGTTTCAAATTCCTGTCATTGTTCTTAGTGTTGAATTGCTATCGCCTGTGTTGTTTGATATATATATTTATTACCTATACTAGTAATATTAAAACATTCGCTATATTGAATAGCACAATTCGAATGCTATCATTCATCACTATCATATGATTTCACGAACATGCATGTCTGTGAAATCATATGATAGTGATGAATAATAGTATTCAAATCATGCCATTCAACACAGAGAATATTTTAGTATTATTTTGTTATAAAAAAAAACAGTTACAACTATACTAATACTGATTTCTATTTGGTTCTAGGTAAGCAACATGTGTTCCTGCTATATCCTTTATTGCCCTTTCAATATCTTCACCAGAATCAATATTGTGGTCAAACTTAACATATCTCTTAATAGCATGAGTTATCTAGATGAATTGTTAGTTGAAAAATATAATGAATTATGACAAATAAAAACCTGAAATAGTGACCTTGGGTAAAAAAATAAAAATAAAAAAAATTGCTACTTAAAATTTTCATTTGTTATTTTTTTTTCCGTTTTTTTAATACTTACTTGTATGTGATGAGAATCTATTGAAGTTTTAGCTTCACTGGCCTCTAAGAACAACTATTTTCTTATAGTAACATTATACTATTCTTTTCACTTTCCTAATATTATCATTAACTCGGTATTATGGTAGTAAGAGCTATTGTCTGAAATAATAGTAATCTATTTTGGTATGCAATCTAGACTTTCAATTACAGCATTAAGTGAAGACGTAGTAAACCAAGTGTCTTGCTTAGTATTATTGCTCCAGTGATCAAATACTTGAACATCAAAGCTACTAGTTTTTGCATTTTTGGTATATATAAAAACAGAGTGGAGTGTTCACTCGTATTTTCCAAAGAACTCAGATTTTATTTCTCAAGCACTCTGTAGGAAAATTCTCATCTTGTAGTCAACAATGAGCAAAGTACTATTCACATCAAGTTGAGCAAGTTCAACATCTAATTGGGCATTGAGATACATTTTACGTGCATAGTGAGCTATAAAATAGATTAGTTGATTTTAATACTCTATTAAAGATTCATAAAATTCACTATCAACATTCGCTCTTAAATTACTAAACAAGGTAAACAACTCGTTGCAATTGTTACAAATTTCAGGATGATCCAAATTGCAATTATCAAAAGCTTGTTAGAGACAATGGCTTATGCATAGCAAATATAGAGCAATTCCTATTAGTGATACTTTTAAATTTGTGGCAAAATCTTTATGCAGATATCATTACAAATTTTGAGCTATTTTGTATATCATTTCCTTTTTATTTTTTTTTATTTTTTATTTTTTTTTTATTTTTATTTTTTTTACAAATTAAAAAATTTAGTTTCAATTGTTGTTATTAAAACCTGAAATACAAACTTACCTTCAACTCATTATTTTTGATTTGAGTATTTATAAGAGATTCGATATTCTCAAAAACCTCATAACCAAGCTCATTACACATAGTATAAAGACCACCAAGATTTTCCTTATACACAAACCTACTTCCTTCCAATTGAGTTATAAAGGTTATGAATTGCATACCATTAGGATATTTCTCATAAAACTTATTCCACATAGCTTTCTTATGATCCTGAAGATATAATATAGGTAAGCCTGTAGAGTTATCTATTTTATATGATGACATATTAACATTTTCTTTAGTTATAAAAAATAAATCAAACTGATTTAATTGCTCGGTCATTAGCTTAGTGCAGTGAATTATTGGTTTAGTTAAAGCTAGTACACCATATCTGTTTATTTTGGTATGTTTTCATAATTCTGAAATTATATGGTCTCCAACCTATTAATATTAGTCAAAAATTGTATAATAATATTGCATCCTGTAGTGATTTTGCAGAAAGTTGTAAAAAAAATTATAGTACTATTTCCCAAAAGCTATTTTCTCGAAAGAATATAATATCAATTAAATCAGCTAGCATGATAACTAATGCTAGCTAACTTTGTCAGTATTATGTTCTTTTTGGAAAATGGCTTTCAGAAATCATACTATAACCTGTAAAAAAATATAGATATTTCTTACATCTAAATTTGTCTTTAAATCTGAATAACTAAAATCGTTAGCAATTATTGATAAAACTTGTCTTTTGCCATCCTTTGTTTTTTTGTTATCTATTAATGCTTAATTGAAATATTGCCAAAAAATATGAGTTTTATTAGGGATATAACTTGGTAAGCTATTTAAAAACTCTAAACTATACAATTGTTGAAGCATAGCATAGTTATTTTCTGGTTGTATATTTTTCGTCCATAATTGATACTAAAAAATAAAATAAACTTAGTGTTAATTTTCGTTTTACTTGAAGGATTTTAAACCTTGTCTGTGATTCCTCAGATATCTATAGTGTTATGTTATGACAACTACATGCACAAAGCATTGCATGCTAAGCATCTATTTCGCGATTACTAAATTAGTAATCCGAAGGGTAGAGGCTTTCAAGACTTGAATAAAGCTCAATAATATTGTTTTGATCTTTATGCTAATTAAGAAATAAGGTGTGCCAATTTATATTAGCAAGAGTTCTTTATTTTAAGTGATAGTCAAAAAAAAACTTCATAAGAGCATAATCAGGCCAATTATTTGGCAAACAGGAAGGAACATGATATTGGCAAATAAATGATTGTACTTCAGAGTTTTCAAGCCCAAAAAGTTGAATTCTAGTATACTTTCGAATATTTAGCCTTTGCCACACTTCATTTAGAGACGAACCTTCGATCTAGTCTTTAATATTAAAATCCTTATAAATCTCTAAAGTACAAAAATTATCCTCTATTTTCGAAATATATAATACATATTTTCCACTTATAGTTTATAAAAGAGATGACTTATAGCCTGATCCAGCATAATTCTATTCAGGGTTTGAAGATGAACCAATTCCAAAAATAAAAATTTTATATTCACCAAGTGAAAAAGATATAGAAATAAATAGTACATTTAATAAGAGCTGTTTGATTATTAATTCATTTGTCTATCTAAGTACCAAAAATCTAGAATAGCACATTTAATTATTGAAAATCTCCCTATATACCATTGAAATTGCTGATATCAGATCCAATTTTATACTGAAAAAAGAACTACTTTCACAATAATAGCTAGGCAAAAAAGAACTTTTGGAGTAGTTAATAATAACTGTCATAAAAAATTCGTGTTCTTTTAAAATTATTTTAGTCTTTTGACCAATTCGAATAAGAAAATATACTTCTTTCTTTTTATTAGTACTAGAAAGTCATCACTAATATCGTAAGTAAGCAACATAATAGAGATTGTTGTCTAATAACTCATTCTCTATTAACATAACAGTAAGATTCACTATTTTTCTAATCTCTAAAATCAAACTTAGCAGATTTGCAGTATATTATAAAATTACTATCATACTTATCCCTAGATTCTACATAAACTTTTGTATAATTTTATGTCGATCTTATCCGAATTAGCAATTAAGTAAAAAAATATATATATATATAAACCTACTCTAAATATATAATAATTCTATAGCTTTGTCAATATAATTTTATTAAAATAACTACATATAATACAAAACTTAATTATTTATATAACTAATTTTTTTTTATCTACTTTAGTTGTTTTATAATTATCAAATACTTTTTTATTATAAAGAGTTATATCTAAAAATTTTTTTTTATTAGAAATATTATTATTTCTTATTATTCTTCATCATATTTTAAACTTATTTTGCTCATATTTCAAATCTCAATTTAAAAGCTTTCTAAGCCTATTAGATAACTTTTGTACTATTAAATATAGAATAAATAATTTTTTCTCTAAATATATTATCTGTATTATATTTATTATAAATTATACTATAGATATACAGAATAATTTATAAAAATCTTATCAACTTTATCAAAACTAAAAAATAATTTACTTCTTTTTTTTTATATTCTTTTGTATAGATATACTGCATCTTTTATTTGTAATATATTTCTTTGAATAATTATTAGCATATTTGATAATATTTTTATAGATAATTACCAAGAAGTCATAACATAGTACAATAAATAAAATAAATGTTTCTTAGCTTTAAATCTTCTATCTTTATATAATCTTTTAATCATTTGAATAAATCTATTCTTAGAAAAGTATTTTGGATTATATTCAAGAAATTTTTTAAATAGATAACAAATATGAAAACACTACATTTCTAGAGTTTCACTACTACACCTATATTGCAAATTATTTAACGTCTGCACTACTACAGGATTTAAGCCAGAATAGTAGTTAGTTTTAACCATTTTACAGGTGTAGTGAAATTATAGGGATGGCCACGGTCGGTCATTTTCGGCTAGCCGTTTTGTAGCCGTTAGCTATATCTTTCGATCCAGTACTCCAAATTGGAAGATTTTAGTACCATTCGAATCGTCTCATTGAGACGATTCGAATGGTATTAAAATCATCCGATTTGGATCACTGGATCATGAGATAGCCGCGGCTTAGCCGGTCGGCTAAACCGAAAATGACCGACCGTTGCCATCCCTAATTATAGCTGTTTTAGTGATTTATAACATTTTTAGCAATTTATAGCAAGTATATTATAATAAATATCAGTTCATTTTTATTCGATTGTTTGGGTAAAAACAGATTCACATGATTCGGTTAAATTAAACCCGATCACCATGGACGGTTAAACTATAAAATTTGTATCACATGTGATCCCCCTAAATCCATGCCAGAGCTGGCGAGTTATAAATCACGAGATGATCGGCTAACCAGATTCAAATAGTTTTTATTAATAGCATACGCGAGTTAAAAAAAGGAGAAAGGTCAAAGCTTTATTTTACTTTTCATTGATAAGCACATAATTCATTTATAGATAAAAATAACCGAAAGGAAAGAATCGATATAAACTATTTATTTCTTTTTTATTTAGGGTCAACGAAATCACGTGAATATGGCACAGTAAGACTTTACTTATAGTGATACTATAATCAGTATTGTTTGTATTTTTGTATCTTCGTCGGATTATGAAACATTGGCTTGATCATCATTTTTGATTTTGATTGTTTATTCATTCTTATTGCGGTCTGATATGATATGGCCCCATTATTGACTATAAGCTAGAAAGGTACATTAGGATTAATAACCTTATATAAATAATGTCTGCACAATTGATCGCCTGCTTACTCGAATTATGTTCATGACTTGATAGCACTGCAAGGCAGTACCCCACGATGTGGAACCCCTGGGAAGCTCGAACTCTCCAATTAATATCATGCGGTAGATCCCTTCGAACCGGAGGTCCATCAGATAGGCTCTTCCCAAGAACCCTGAAAACAAAAAATGAAAATTTTAATATGAAAAACAGAGATTGTACTGTTATTTGTTCACAAAATGTACTTACCGATAACCTGCATGCCACATATGACTAGGTCATCTGCACCGTCTTCGATAGATTTATCTATCGCACACTTCATCGTTTTCCCGAGCGAGACAAGATCCTCCAAAACAAGAGCATTATTCGTTTTATTCGGTTTGATCTCAACGATAAACAATTCAACGTGTTTTTGTGGATTCGTGGTTATTACAGTGAAATCAGGTTTCGTACCCAAACGTTCAGGATCAAAGCGTCTATTTGCGATTGCCGATGATTCCGACATTTTATTCGCCCTGTACGCGAAAAAAGAAAAATAAAATAAGGCTTATACACAACATAAACATAATACTATTAATTATCAACATATACCCTTCAAAGGTTATTCTTTTATTGTTCTTAAAAAAAGGTTTTAATATTATTGGAGTGATGTTTCGAATTGTGTGGGTGTCTTCAACAACATAATTTCTTGTGAATGAGGACCGCTCGTTGTCAACCCTGTAACAACGAAAATAAGAATTTTGAACACAAAACTTTTATTGCAATTTTGACCGACTCCCCACGAAACATACAGCTCCCTAAACATCTCTATAATTATTTCTTCTTCTTCGGTTATAACATCAAAATTTCGTAAATAGCGCCTTGCAAGTTTTTGACGTTCGGTTTGATTTGGTTCCTCACACGGGATCTGCAGATACTCATTAATTAGAACTGAAATATGTGCCTCCTCGGAAATTAAATATATTACCTTAACGATGTTTAAAAACAGATTACTAATCTTATCCGTGATCGGTGCATATGGATACAGCCCACGAAACTCAGCAAAAA